CACCCCTGGGCTCAAGCGTTCTTCTTCTTTGGCGCCACCCCGCACGACCGCTTGCTGAGCGTGGTGAGGACCTGGTGCTGCTGCTGCCGATACGGGACCACGAAGCTCTCGGGGGACAATTCGCCGACCCCCTCGGCGTCCACCCGGCCCATGAAGATGTAGCTGGAACCTGAGGGGGTGGGGGAGAGACAGAGATAATCATGAGAGGTGGGAGATGCGCCCACCTCTGGGGCGGGGCGGCTGGTTACACGGGGACCCCTCGCCCGGCACTCAGATACAGCCACCTCTGGGGCGGGGCTTCCCATGGCCCAGCTCACTCACCTTTCTTGAGGGTGGGGCACTGGCGGCAGGGGACCTCCAGGTGCAGGGTGGCCCCTTTCTCGGCCTGGGGCAGGCTGAGGGCTCCAGCCTTGTAGGTGTTGAGGAGCGAGACAGTGGCTGTGACCCGGTCGCCGGCCCCTCGCACAGCGGTTTTCACGGTGCCGGTGATAACTGTGAGACAGGGCACGGGGGGGGTGAGTCCTTCGGGGCACTTGCCTCAGAGCCAGGGGAAACCCCCCTCCCCTGACTTCTGGGTCCCTTACCAAAGTTGTTGGCACAGAAGTGGCTCTGTAGACTTCCCGACCGGCGGCATTTCTGGGGGCACTCAACCTTGGCTGGGGGGAGAAGAGGGGTTTAGTGCTCAGCCTGGGGGGGGCAGCTTCCCCCCAACTCACATACTCCCTCCCACAATTCACACAGCCCAAGGACCGCAGGGCTGGGCTAGCAGGGGCTGCGGGTCGGGAGTGAGGGGCACCGGCAGAGCTGGGGGGGGCAGGGGCTGCGGGTCGGGAATGGGGGGCACCGGCAGAGCTGGGGGGGCAGGGGCTGCGGGTCGGGAGTGGGGGGCACTGGTAGGGGGGCTGGGTGGAGGGCCGGGTTCGCAGGGGCCCATCTTACCCGGCGTCTGGGCGCTGGGCAGCTCGGCTGCTGGGGCCCGGGCGGTGGGTTTGGGCTCGGGCGCCGGTTTCGGTTTCCCGGAAGGCTTGGTGCCGGCCTGGCCCGGTTTGGAGCCGGGGAAGATCCCGGGGGCTGGTTTCGTGGCCTTGTCGGTCGCCTCCGACGGGCTCTTGACGGCGTAGGAGGCGGCGAAGCCGTCAGCCGTGACGCTGAGATCCGACACGAACTGAACCAGCACCTCGTTGCCTTCCGAGTAGATGGTGCTGCGGGGGAGACGGGTGAGAAAAACCCTTCTGCGCCGGGCACCGGCCACCACCCGGCCCCTGGGAGGGGACTGGCTGGCTCAGGGGGGCGGGGAATGGGGCAGGGGCCTGTCCCCTCTAGGGGGCACCGGCCCCCACCCAGCCCCAGGGCAGGCACTGGCTGGCTCAGGGGGGCAGGGAATGGGGCAGGGGCGGCCGGGGGAGGGGCAGGAGTGGCCGGGGGAGGGGCGGGGGCTCACCCGGGGGTGCGGTCCCCGCAGAACTTGCCGACGCGCCGGGAGTCATCGGTGGCCCCCCCGTTGAAAACGGCCACGTAGTCGTAGCGACAGTAGGTGTCGTCCTCCACGTCGAACTTCCCGAAGGTCAGTTCCACCACCTGGGGGGGTGGGGCATAGGGTCAGCCACACCCCATTGGAGCCTCAGCCCCGCCCCCTCAGCCCCTCCCCCCACATTTCCCCTCTGCCCCGCCCACCACAGTGACACCCACCCTGCAACCCCCCCATACCTGGCCCACGGGCGCTATGATGTGCCAGGAGCAGCTGATCCCAGCCGGGTAGTTGCTCTCGGGCCAGTTCGGGGTCTTGAGGCTGCCCTGGGGCTTCTCCAGCTTCCCCCCACAGAACTGATGCTCTGCAAGACAAGCGGGGGTGGGGGGTCAGCGAGGGGGAGACCCAGATCTTGGGGGGGTCCCCCCGGTGGGCACCCCCTGGGGCTAATGGGGAGCGCGCCGGCACAGAGCGGAGCGGATGGGAGCGTGCAAAGAGAGAGGTGAGTGTGCACAGCAAGTGTGCTCACTGGTTGTGCAAGGCTATAGGGGGTGCACAGGAATTGTGCAAATGAGTGTGTGCTTGGGAGAATGCAGGTGTGCCATACAGGGAAGCGTGCAAAGGAATGAGCCTGTGCATGGGCTGTGCACGGATATAGGGATGTGCACGGGGAAACGTGCATGTAAGTGTGCAAAAATAAGTGTGCATGCACGTGAAGGCTGCATGAGTCTGATGTGCATGGATATAGGTGAGTGTGCACAGAGCAGTTTGCAAAGGAGCGTAAGAGTGAGTGTGCATGAAAGGTGTGCAAGATACACAAGTGTGCACACAGGGACTGGAGTGTGCAAAGACACAGGGCACTGTGGAAGCAGAAGACTGTGCACAGGGAAGAGTTTAGTGTGCAAGAGCATGTGAGTGTGCCAATTTGTGAGTGCACATGGAAGGCTGTGCACAGGCGCGCTGCCCAAGGGGAGGTCTGTGCAAATCCCACCAAGTGTGCGAGGAAATGCACAAACGTCCCACCTGCCCGTGCAACCCTCTCTGTGTACGTGTGCAACTCCTGCCAGCACACGCAATAGTGCAAACTCCTCCCTGCCTGCGCAACAGGGCACAGGTCATCGTGCGAACGTGCAAACCCCCAGCAGCGCGTGCAGCCGGATCGCCGTCCACCTGGCACCACGTCCACCTCGGCCTGCGCGTGCAAGGGTGCGAACATCTCATGCGCACGAGTGGAAACCTGCACCAGTGAACGTGCAAACTGCCGGCCGATGTGCAACCCCCCCATCTGAGCGTGCAAACCACCCACCCACTTTAGGACAACCAAACGGCCACCTGCCCGTGTGCAAATCGCCACACTACTGCCACGCTGACCCTTTTGGGTGTGACCCCCCTGCTCAGATCCACACCCCCACATGCTCCGAGCCCCTCGTCGGTACAGCCAGCTCTGGGGCGGCGCGGGGGCAGGCAGGCGACGTTCCACAGGCCCCGAAGCAGCTGGAGTCACTCTGCCTGGGCCCGTGTTTGCTCAGCGCACGACTTTGGGGGCATTGGGGGGGGGGGGGGGGGGGGGAGAAGGGCAGCGGCGCCGGGAGCGGGGGAGGGGAGAGACGGACTTGTGCAAACCAGCAATTTCCACGGATTCCGCGGTTGGTAATTACAGACCATGGAGGGAGCGGGGGAGGGG